TCAGTATAAAGTCTCCCTCAACAGAATGAGAAAACCTCTCTGCTAAGATATTGGTCCCTTTCCAGTTTAGGTTAGGCCCAACCTTTTTGAACAGGTCTTTTCTATCCCAAAAGACATTCCAATTGTCCAAAAACCTAAATCCCTGAACAATACACCAGCTCTTCTGCCACTAATTTATCTCCTTTAACCTTTTGTTCCTTCTCTCATTTGATTTTGGCATTGAGACTAAACCAGAAATTACTACTTTTAAGGTTTTATATTTTAATCCTCTACCTAGCCTCTTAAAATTCACTCTGTACTGCTTTAATCTTTTCTCTAAAAATGTCATTCTTACCAAAATGTACAATAATTTCTGGCTTCTTAATCTCACCTTTAACAATATGCTTGAAAAGTTTAGAAACATTCTTAATCCTAGCACCAGGAAAGGAACAAACAATTCTAAATTTACACTCACTGCCACAGAATCACCTGTCTATGCCCCTGACAGGACAGTCCCCTGTATTAAATCTTGTCAAACACTGCCTAACATAAGAATCATTCCAAGTGTCCAATAACTGAGTGGCCCTTCCATTTTGCTCTGGGAGACTATCCCCTTCAACTGTTCCAAAAACTGAACATCTATTTGATAGAGGAATAGCCACTGGAGACTTTTGAACTTTCTTACTTTCCTGACAGTCGCCCATCTATCGTTCAGATCCAGCTGGTTAATAACTTTTCTAAATCTACTAGCCATCTCACTCTGTACCTTATATATGGCCTTAATATCATTAACCTAAAAAAAAGGATGTTTCAATAACACCTTATATATAACATAAACTAATTTTCATTGCCTACAGAAAATAATGTTGAATGGAAAAAATATTTAAAATATATATATATTAAACATCTCAAAATTAAATAAAATCAACCACTTAGCTGATTAACTGAATAAATAAATTCCTCAAAGAAAAAAAATCTTCTCCAGATGTAGGACTCCCCAGAACGAAAACACAACTCCTTATTCAAACACAAACTGTTTGATTTTTTCAAAAAAATCCTTTGCAATGTGAAAAAAACCTTCTAAAACATGCGTAGACTTTTTTAATTTCTGAATTAAGAGTAGAAAAACCTCAGCCGTTCACTGTAGACCCTTAAAATAGTTTAAATAAAAAGTCCGTTTGAAAGTAAAATTGTGATTTTTTTCTCTTTTTTTTGGTTTTTTGAATGTTAATGAAATAAAATGGAAAAATAAATCTTATATTAGTAAACTATAATAACTGTAAAACTGTAAAAAAAACTATCAGAAACCTTTAACATAGCCTGCAATCCTAGGAGCAACTGCAAGATCCACGCTGCTTCTGTATCATTTAGCTAAAAATGAATTTTCCAAGACAAAAGTGACTGACAATAGGGCAAGACCAAATAACACCTACAAAAGCAAAAATAATGACTCTCTTGTAATTCCCCGTGCTTAAGACAAAATACCGATATTTTGTGATACATGTTTGAATCTTATTGAGCATTAATTCTGAATTTCACCTCTGGAATGGTTCCTTTGACAAGTTTGTGAGAGAAAATCCAGAAATTTTAAACTACAAAAGAATTACAAAGTGCCTTTGATGACTTCAAAGCTGTACTGTACACCAGTTTTAGCGACACTGAATTACGCTAAGCCAACCTTACTGTTGAAAACAGTGGCATCAGTGTCGTTGCAGTATATTTATGGGAGAATGATATGGGAATTGAATGGCCATTTATTTATGTTTGATGCACCTAATGAACTATAACCTGGTGTCGTGTGACTTCCACCCCAGTCCAACACTGGCACCTCCACATCATAACAAAATATTCAACTACAGAGAAGTAAGTTTGAAGTCTAAACATCTAACAACTCTGCAGATACTATTATCTTACAAATCACAATTCCCTCACTTTTCTTGAAAGATTTCATAACAAGAATTTGAGGCTATTTCATTAGGGTTTGTCGCTACAGCCATACAATTTGAAAATCATTCATGTAGGCAGAAGAGGCAATATCATAGTGTATGCTTTATCAATAGGAAATATTAAGGAAAATTAATGTCTTGATTAAAATGGACTTGTGCAGAATACAATTGTTATAGCATATATTGTATATTTAAATTTAATATTACTACTGTCAAAATGAAATCTGCAAAAAATAATAGATGCATAAAAATATTGTAATAGAAAAATTAAAAGGTGTCTTAAAGATGACTTTTCCTTTTCTCGAGCAGAGAAGTGTGCTGAAGGTTATGTCTCAAATGTGAGATCCCTTAATCCTAGATTTTACGCTTTGGTCTCAGACTTTCCCATAGGGGGAAACAACTTTTCCACATTTATCCTGTCAAGTCGTCCAAGGATCTTTTACGTTTCAATAAGGTCATCTCTCATTCTTCTAAACTTCATTGAGTACAGGCCCAATCTACTCAACCTCTCCTCATACGACAGTTTCTCCATACCTGCTATCAGCCTCGTGAACCTTCTCTGGACTGCCTCCATATATCTTTCCTTGATATGGAAGCCAAAAGTGTTCATAGTATTTTTTTCTTTATTCATTCATGAGATGAGGGCATTGCTGGCTAGGCAGCATTTATTGTCCATCCCTAATTGCCCAGCGGGCAGTTAAGAGTCAACCACATTGCTGTAGGTCTGGAGTCACATGTAGGCCAGACCAGGAAAGGATAGCAGTTTCCTTCCCTAAAGGACATTAGTGAATCAGATGGGTTTTTCCTGACAATCGACAATGGATTCACAGTCATCATTAGACTCTTAATTCCAGATATTTGTTGAATTCAAATTCTACCACATGCCATGATGGGATTCGAAACCGGGTCCCCAAAACATTATCTGGGTCTGCGGATTAACAGTCCAATGATAATACCACTAGGCCATGAGACCTACCCAACACCACCAGCCTCCCCCACATCGCCATCTCCCCTATCTCACCATTTCCCCTACATCGTCATCTCCCCTACATCACCATCTCCCCTGCACCACCATCTCCCCATAGCACCATCTCCCCTACATCACCATCTCCCATACATCACCATCTACCCCACACCACCATCTCCCCTACATCACCGTCTCCCCTACATCACCATCTCCCCTACATCACCATCTCCCCACATCACCATCTCCCCTACACCACCATCTCCCCCACACCACCATCTCCC